AAAAAAGGTGTGATAGTGTCATTGATCCCAAACTGAATCCTAGAGATCACCAGTTTCTATGCTAGGTACTTACAAACCATTCTTGGCAGCACGGTGAAGGCTGGAAGAGATTCTACATACCTGGATTATTAGAGATCAGGAAACGTGTTAATACTGACTTTCAAAAGGTAGCCAGGCTTGACTGGATAATTCAGATAAAATTTTAGCAATAAAGGCTTTGACAGATTTATTTAATTAATTAATTAATTAATTAATTAATTAATTAAACATATCTTTATTGATTTCAGGGAGAGGAAAGAAGAGGGAGAGAGAGAGAGAGAAACATCAATGATGAGAGAGTCATTGATCGAGCCCGCAACCCGGGCATGTGCCCTGACCGGGAATCGAACCGCGATCGCCTGGATCCTAGGTCGATGCTCAACTGCAGAGCCACCCCCGGCCGGGCGACTTTGACAGATTTAAAACCTAATTGTCTAACAAGTTAAGAGGTCAAATTCAGAATTTCAAGCCAATAACCTCATCAAATCTTGGCTGAAGGAACACAAAGTGGCAAGTCCATAGGATCTCTATTTTGGAGGCACCTTCTGGGAAGTGGAGAAACATATAGCATTTAAGACTTAAGAGTAACAGTATCTACATGTACTCAGTTATTCCAGGACCATAGTTTAAAAGATGGGGACAGGTCAACCATTACTGAAAACTCCTTTGAAGTTTCCCCTGCAACTTCGACTAATGCTTATTGAGATCAGAGCTATGTTTGTAGGTCAATCCAAGGACTACTAAGGCCAAAAGTGTGAGAAAAAAGTGTGTCTTTTTTTTTTCTTATTGGAGATGAAGATTCTCTTTTTCTTTTTGGAAAAAATAACTTTTTAATATTAATATTAACCTCCCAATGAATCACTTTTATCATTAATTTTTTTCTAAGATATATATCAAGAATAAGATAACCAACATTGTTTACATGAAGCTGTTCAATTAACTATATTGCAAATTAAAGAAGTAAGAATTAAAAAATAATAATTACTATACTCCAAACCTTTGTCGTTAGTCTTGATAATCTTGATTCTTCCTTGGATGTGGGCATTGTATATGCTGATGGAGCCTTTAAAATTTTTGTCATATTGAAGTCTATAGCTAAAATAGAAAATAAAATATTTTTAAAAATTCTGGTGGTTTTCCTTGAGAAAAAGACATGATGCCCCTTTTTTCTCCTAACAATTCACTCTAAACATGGAGAGGGGCAAACGTGGATGAGAGTTTAGGATACGGTTATAGCTTTCCCTAGTCAGAAGAAATGATTATTCCATCTCATTTTCTCATGACTTGCTCTAAGTCACCATTTATTAAGAGTACATGGAGAGGACACAGGCCCAGGTCTTTTGTTTCTGAGCCCAGAGCTCTTTTCATGACCCTCTAGTTAAATGCAATAGGTGGCTTGGTCCTCTGCAAAGAGGACCTTTTCCACATACTGAAAACACACCCTTATCTGGTAATTTTCCCTTGCAACCAGCATGAATGCCCCTGAGGGTATCCAGTGAATCTTGTTAAGACTTAACCGACAGGAGAACTGTATGATTTAATCAGCTGTGTCAATCAGTCTGAAAGCTAGTTATTAAGATATCTTAACACAGGGCAGAGGAAACAGGTGATCTAAGAGGTTTATGCTAGATTCTGGCATTTTATCATCAATTATCAGGCAGATTAATTCGATTAGAGGCTGTGATGTTGATGAGAAACCTCTGAGGAGTTGAGGAAAGTCACTTGGACTGATTTTTGACATTAGACATTAAAAGATTTTAAATATTAGCCTGAAATACTAGAGGCAAGTGGGAATTCATCTCTGGCAGAGATTAAACAATTGGTTAGCAAGGAATTTGCACTTTAAAATTTTGAGTGGAACCAACATTAGATTGAGTTGGACTTAGAATTGGCAAGAAAAGTGGTAAGCCACATAATGTCTTTTCATTAAAACTTGCTCAAAAGCATATAACCACGTATGGAGAGGAATCTGGCAATATCTACCAAATATACATATTTTCCCTTTGACCCTGCAATTTCTCTCCTGATCCTACACAACCTCCTATATAAGTATGAAAGAATATACGTGCAAGTTTATTGATTTGTGGCTAATTTGAAAATTTAGGGATTATAAACAACCAATGTACGTAGCAATCAAGTTGTGGTTGAATAAACTAAGGCACCCTCATTTGAAAGAATACTATGCAGTTGTAAAAAGCAATGAGGAAAACCCCCACACTGATGTAAAGAGAACTGAAGGTCATATCATTAAATGATAAAAACAAGGTGCAGAACAGTGAGTGTATGGAGTATATTATTTAATTCATTCTATACAGTACACCATCTTTAGTATAAAAGAGAGGAAATAAGAATATCTATTGTATCTGCCTTCATTTGTATAAAGAAACACCAGAAAGAAAAAAGTTTGAAGCACACACATGTGAACTTAACCTACATTCCTGAGTCAGAGTAGTGTATGAGTTAAGCACGTAGGCCTTGGAGTCAGATGGACACAGATTTAAACGCCAGCTCTGCCATTTGTAGATGAAGTGGCCTTGGGCAAATTAATTTCTTTAAGTTTCAGTTTCTTCAAATATAATTTGAAGATGATACAAATTACCTTATATACTTGTTAACTGGATAAAAATAAGATCATATATGCAAATCATAGTGCCTGGCACATCATGAAAGTTAAATGTTAGTCAATATTGTTATTAATATTATTTCTTAAGAAGTATAATAAATTCAAGCTCACTATTACTTCATACTTACAAAAGCTTTGTTGATAAAAATATTGAAAATACTGAGGACTGATTAAGTTTTATCTGTTCCTTTAGAAAAATATGAGACATAGTCTTTAATTAAGGTAGAGTAGCAAAGAGCTATGTATTAGCACTGAATTTTCCTAGTCACTTGTAGACCTATTTTTACCATATTGTGCTTTTTATCTTTATGCCGTTGGCCAATGTAGTGCAATGTCACAAACTGAACCCTGGCTGTATTTACTATGCCAAATAGTCATTACATATACAGAGCTTCCCTGGGGAGACTGTGATAGTCAATCAGGCTGTTGAGAAATAGTTACCGTCTCATCCTTCCAAGGCACATGGTAGGACTGAAAACCTCTACCCTCTTTGAAGATAAGTATGGCCATGGGGCCTGCTCTATGCAATAAAATTTGAGTTGAAATAATGATTTTTTTAAAAAATGTTTTTACTTCTTTCAGAGAGAGGAAGGGAGAGGGAGAGAGAGAGAGAAACATTAATGAAAAGAGAGAGTCATTGATCGGCTGCCTCCTGCACGCTCCCTACTGGGGATTGAGCCCAAAATTCAGGCATGTGTCCTGACCTGGAATTGAACTGTGACCTCCTAGTTCATGGGTCGATGCTCAACCATTGAGCCACACCAGCTGGGCTTGTTTTGTTTTTGAGATGAAGATTTAAAAGCCAATGCTCAATTCATTGTGTTCTCTTCACTTGCTATAGTGACTACCTTGAATGAGATGGAATCTTCTTTGGCACTGATGTCTGAGTTACTACACTAATAGAGGCACTAGCCTGTATGCAATGGATACACAGTGTGAGTGAAAAATAAACCTTTATCAGCATAAGCAACTAAGATTTTGCTGAAGTTGTTATTACAGAATAATATAGCCTATTCTGATTGATATAGGGATTCACAGGGAAAAAAAATACTATCTAGTCATAGTATAAGGAATAGAGTACTTCATATCACTAATGGTTTGTTTGTATTTTATGGATACTGCTCAATTATGTAAGTGACATTGTCATTTCCTCTCCTTGGCATATACAAAGCTTAGAGCCAACCATATTTGTGAGCTAAATCTAGCAAAAGTAAAAGATTTCTCAGTAAGATTTTGCATTGTAAAATCATTTGACTTTTCTTTTACCTCAGCTTTGTCCAGCCCTCTTTTCCTTATCTGCTTATTTAACATGCTATTTTATGCTGTTGTTCTGAACACATTTATGTAAAGCTACCAAAAAATCCTTACAGCAAAAGATGGGCATATACATAATTAAATATATACATAAGTATATTGCCTATTATTTTAAAGAAAGGGTTTAAACATGTGATATGCAATATGAACTGGCCTGTGTGCTTTACCTAATTTGCTATTTACCCCTTTCTTGAAGTGGCCTAATGGCTAACCTGGTGTGTCCACCGCAAAGCACTGCCCTTTAGAAGAACACAGTATTAGGATTCAGAAATCTAAATTCTAGTTTAATTTTGCCATAGCTATATATGTAATTTCTAGCTACCCACTTTCCACTTGAATCTTGATTTCCTCATTTGAAAAAGTGAGGTCTTTAAAATTTATGCTCAAATTTCCTCTCTTATTTTAAATTATATGAATTAAGGCATGAAGGACTAGATTGAATTAATCCTCTAATAAGTGGAGAAAACCCACAAATATGATTGCCTGAGCCTAAGTTTGCTATTTTCCGCTTATTGATTTACTTAAGAAACATTTCTTGTGGACTATATGAAAAACACTACAAGGTTCAAAAGAAGTAAAAGATAGAGTTTCTGGCTTCAGCCATCAAACAGGTTAACTATATATAGGTAATACTTGTGAACAATTAATTCAATGTCTATTACAAAGTTAATATAAGATAAAGAGGCAAAGAGCTTATATCGGAAATACAACTTTTAGGATGAGACAGAGACTGTCTGTGGCTGTCAGAAAAGGCTCATTTAAAAACTGATCCAATTTGCCTTGGCCTGTGTGTCTCAGTTGGTTGAGCACTGTCCCCTACACCGAGAGGTTGCTGGTTTGATTCCAATTCAGGGCACATGCCTGGGTTCCATCCCTGTTAGGGGGCATGCAGGAGGCAGCTGATTGATGTTTCTCTCCCTCTCCCTCTCCCTTCCTCTCTCGCTAAAAAAATCAATAAAAAAATATTAAAAACATTAAAAAAAATAAAAACTGATCAGATTTGTGGGAGTTCAGACATGGAAAAAGAATTAGGCCAATGGAGTGTACATAGGGTGAGACTGGGTAACAAGGCATTTGGGCAAGACCTTGAAAAGACCACCCTGGTTGCAGCAAAAGGTTACCTTAGGAAATGTCCTAAGAATATGAAGAAGAAAAAGAGCAAAGACATTTATGATGGAGTGGTTATCCTAGTGTGTGCTGATCATTACTATGTATTTGTCAAGAAATAATGGACTGAACTCAAATCTTTGAGGGTGATTGAAATAATTAGTGGGTAGTTATGAGTTCATTTAAGTACTACAGTTGCTTAACAAATGATGTGAGTGATGTGGTTTTCCCCTTTAAGTCGTAAAGTTGATAATGAGCCCAATTACTTCAAATTATCATAAATTTCGTAAATGAAACAAGAATGAACCAACCCTACCACTATGAAAAGGATGGCGAAAACAGAAGCCAAGGAATGTATAGTTAGTTACCTGTTACCGTAGAAGAATAAAGTATTGTCAATTAAGAAATTAAAAAACTTGAAATAATGAAATCAAAGTGGTAAAGAGTTCACATTTTGGTGAGGCCAGTGCTGTGTATGATTTATATGAAATAACATATGTTTCTTTCAAAATGTGGGTGGAAGGGTCAAATGTGGTGGGAGAACACTAGTAAGAGCTCATTGTGTTTTCCTCTCAGTGTAAATGTTGTATGGAGGGTGCTGTGGTTCACCCATACCATTTCCTCTTTGTTTGGAGCCATTGTGCTCTAATGGGAAAAGTGCTGGCAGAAGTCCTAGTGACGCAGTGTCAGTTCCCCACCCTTTCACCAAAATCTTTCCATCAGAATGTTTACTGTAAGTTAGACTTCTGTACTGAACAAAGAAACTAGCATTTTATTCCATTATTTAAAAAAAAAAAATTATAGGCTCTCAAACCTCTTCCATGGGTGGATTCTCAATATTTACCACTAACAATACGCCTTAAAATAAGTCCTTATTCCAAGATCGAATTTGCAGTATTTGTTTCTGTTTTTAATTAAACAAACTCTTCTAAGTGAATGAGAAATTAATAGTTAAAATGAATGATTGGAATAGAATTGGCTCTTATAAGGCTGGTAATCCCAAAATCTTTGATCTGGCTACCACTAAGCTTCTACCCTAACTGAATCCAAA